AAACTGGCCTCTTTGAGATAGCAATATGTATTTAAGGTTCTGTTACCAGAGGACAGATGAGGGGGCTCCCACAGCTTCCTAGTTTCCACACAAAATCTCAGGTACTTGAGATCCACAAACATTAAAAAGCATTTCAAAGTGTCTCACAACAAGGAGTCTCACAAGGTGAAAGTTTTAGCAAGGATTTATTTCATTATAACAGGATAAAGTATAGATGGGGGTAGGGGCAGGTGGAGGGGAGAGAAAAAGAGAAACATTTCTTGTTCTCTACACAGGAAATGGGAACACAGACTCAAAATGGTGGTCCCCAATGCTTAGTTTTATAGTGAAAACCTAGGGGAATATATGTGGTCAAAGATAATGGGTCCAGGTGGCTGAAATGGCTGACAGGGAGGGGTCACCCTCCACATCACACCCTAAATCAGAGACAATATGATTTTAGAACTTCTCTTTTCTAGACATGATTATTCTCCACTCAGCCAAGGATCCTTGCAGCTTCTTAACTTCTCAAAGAGGAAAGCAGAAGCAGGTAGCTCCTTTTGTCTCCCTGTTTTTGTAACTTAGCATCTAAAAAGAGATGGGAGAGGGCCAGGTGTTCCGGCTCTCCTTGTTTCAATGTCAGAGTCTGGCCCTTTAAATACTGATTAAAATATAATTTCCCTGTTTTGTCATCTATCTAGCCTTCTCAGATCCCCCCTAAATGACTTTGGTCCCTTTTCATCCTCAAAGGGGTGTGGAGGGGGTGATAGTCCAATCTTCTATAGCTGCTTCCGGCTGAGTTTGGTCACTGGCCATCCCTCCCTCCTTCCCTCCCTCCCTCCCTCCCGCCCTCACTGTTTCTCTCTCTCTTTCTTTCTGTTAAATAGCATTTCATTGCCTGGATGTACACAGATTATCCATTTTGTGGGGGGGGGTGGCGGGTACTGGGGCTTGAAATCATGGCCTATACCCTGAGCTACTCCACCAGCCCTTTTTTGTGATGAGATTTTTTCCAAATAGGTTCTAGCAAGCTATTAGCCCGGGCTTGCTTTGAACCTCGATCCTCCTAATCTCTGCCTCCTGAATAGCTAGGATTACAGGTGTGAGCCATTGGCCCCCTGCTATCCATTTATGTTTGATTGTTTCCATATTTGACAGTTACGAAGCAAGCCACTTAAAAACAAAGGAAATTTCTGTTTACACAGAAATTTCAATTCCTTGGGGTAAATACAGTTACTAGATTATATGTTAAGACTATTCAGCTTTGCGAGATGTCAGTCTGTCCTCCAAAGTGGTTTTATAATTTTGCATTCCTACCAGTCATGAGACTGGTAGAATTTGTGTTATTCTGTATTCTCACTAGCAATTGGTGTTGTCAGAGTTCAAGATTGTAGCCATTCTAATGGGTATGTAGTGGTATCTCATTAATGTTGTGATTTTCAACTCTTATTATATATGTTGAGTATTTTATTGTTATTGTTATTATTTTATCTAGTTTTTGTAGTAAAAGTAATAGTAAAACTTACTAGGAAAGGAATTTAGTAAAACAGGATAGAAGTGAGGAGAAATGAGAAGAAAGAATGAAACATTTCCTGCTCCTCACATAGGAAATAGGAGACTCAAAATGGCCATCCTTATTTCTAGTCTTATACTCTCTAGGATTAATGTGATCATTAAGACAGTGGATCTGGGTGGCTAAGTAATGTGTGCTAAAACAGGGAGGTATCATTCAGGCCTATTCCAATCACAGGGACAATATGTTTACTTTAGGACTTCCCTTTACTACCCCTGCCTTTCATTCTTTCTGCTCCTCTACCCATACAAGGATCCTTGTAGCTTGTTAACATCTCAAAGAGGAAAGCAGGTGCAGAGGTCTTAGGTCTTCTTGTTTTGTAACCTAGCATCTAAAAGGAGATGGAAGAGGGTGCTTAGCTGCTTTGCCTTTTCAGTTATTACTTTCTAATTTTGATGTCTGAGTCTGGCCGTTTTAATATTTATTAAAAATATAATTTCCCTATCTCCTCATCTGTCTATCTTGTTTTACCCGTCACTCATGGCTAACTGCTACCTATCATTCCCTCTTTAGGATTAGAGGGAATGAGACGTCATAGTTAGTCCTTGGCTACTTCCTGCTGGTATGGGGCCTACATCAGGAATTTCTTGTCCTTGCTGTCTGTGGATAGAGACATTCGGGATCCCAGGTCATGGATGGTCCAGGGAGGCCTTGTAGAAGGAGGCCTTTGGAGATCATAATCAGCAGTAATTGTGTTTAGGGAGGAGGAGCTATGCTCAAAGTTTAGTGGAGTTAGCCTTTCAGTTGCATTATTTGTAGTTTTTTAGCCTGGAGTCAAGAAGAAACAAACCTGGTTAAAATATTGGCATAAGACTTTAATAATGAGCTTCTGAGTTTATCCTCAAGCTATAGAAATATCAGCTGATAGGAAAGCAAGGGTGTAATGGGCATCAGGTAATCAGGGTCTCACGATGTACCTAGCTGGGCCTCAGGTTCCCAAATACTGGTATTACAGATGTATATCACAGCAAGCTTTGAGCATCTTTTAATATGCTTATTTACCACCTGTATGTCTTCTTTGGTGAGGTGTGTGTTCATCTTTTACTTATCTTAAAATGGGGTTATTTTCTTATTATTGAGTTTCAAGACTTTCTAGTTTTGTTTTGGATACAACTCCTTTTTCAGATAGGCATTTTATAAATATTTTCTCCCAGTCTGTGGCTTGTTTTTTCATTCTCTTAACAGTGTCTTTCACAGCACAGAAGTTTTTCATTTTAAAACTTTGAACTTCTCTTACCAATATATATTTTTTGAGACAGGTTTTCTCTATATAATCCAGGCTAGCCTCTGCCTCCTAAGTGCTGAGATTATAGGAGTGAAACACAATACCTGGCTTAAATGTTAGGTTTTCTGTTGTTGTATTTGTTTTTGCAGGGCTGGGATGGAGCCTTGGGCCTTGTGCATGCTACATCCCTAGCCCTTTCAATTTTTTACTATTGTGAATTATACTTTTAGTGTTATATCTAAAAACTCATCACTAAATCAAAGGTCATCTAGATTTTTTCCTATGTGATATATTTATGAAAGTATAAGATCTATGTCTATCATTTGAGTGTGTGTGCTCATTAGTTTTAGCACTCATTAATGAAAAGACTTATCCTTTCTCTGTTTATTGCCTTTGCTCTTTTGTCAAAGACCAGTTGAGGAGTCAGGTGTGTTGGTTAGTGGTAGAGTGTGTGCCTAGCTTCTGTAAGGCCCTGCTGGATTTTATTCCCAGCACCACAAAACAAAGAAATGAATGCTAGAACCAAACCAAATCATACCAAACAAACCCCAGTTCATTATATCTTTCTTTGAGTCTTTTTCTGGTCTCTGTATTGTATTACCTTGATCTACTTGTCTGTTTTTTCGCCACTACCATGTTGTCTTGCTTATTGTAGCTTTATAGTACATCTTGAAGTCAGGTATATCAGTCTTGACTTTGTTCTTCTTCTTCTTCTTCAGTGTTGTATTAGCTGTTCTGGGTCTGTTGCCTTTCTATATGAACTTTCCATAAACTTGCAATCAATTTGCTAATATCCACAAAATAATTTTTAATTGACAGGTAAGATTATATTTATCATGTACAATATGTTTTCATGTATGCATACATTGTAGAATGACTAAATCTAGCCAATTAACATATACATTACCTTCCATAATTATCATTGTTGAATTTATTGAGATTGTATTGAATCTTTACATAAAGTTTGGAAGAATTACATTCTTGGTAATTACATTCTTCCAGTTCATGAACATGGACTATCTCTTCACTTATTTGATCTTTGATTTTTTTTTTCTTGAATGTTACTTCAGTATATATAGATAGATCTACCTCATCATTTTTAGCAAACAAATAATATTTCCTTATGTGGTTGTATAGAAACTTACTTAATCATTCTCTGTTATTGGTGAATATTTAGGCTGTTTCCAATATTTTTCTACCATAAATAGTACTGTACTGAAATTCTCATGTAATATTTATGCATGTATCTTAAGATAAATTTCTCAGAATAAAGTTAAACAGTCAAAAATGTATACAATTTAAATTTTATACCGTTTGCCAATTTTCTTTCTAAGAAGTCATATAAATTTATACTCCCAGGGTAGTGCCTGGGAGTACTCATTTCCCATACCCTCACTGATGTTCAGGTATCAATTCTTATAGTCCTTAGTATTTGGAAAAGTGGATCTCATAGTGCTTATTTATATTTATCCTAAATTTGATGTTAAGCATGTTTATCTATTTACAAGTACTATTGATACAAACAATCTTTTTAAAAATATGGAAATTTTGAATTATGGCTGATTCACAGGTTAAGACAAATAAGTGGTAAAATATTTGAGATTTTTAATTTTTACTTTTAGAATATAAAACTTTAGTATTCAACTTGAGTAAGGCACTTATGATAAGATCCTTATATTCATATCTGATACAATTTTAGAATTGTTTACTTTTTATCTGATTGCTACATGGCTTCTCATATAACTTAAATACAAGTTATTTAGCTATTAATAAAATAGGATAATATTTATATTATATTCTAAAGTTGGTATATGATGCAGTGTAAAGTGATACCACTTAAACATTCTTTCTTATCCTTTTTATTGAGATATATTTATTGTACAAAATAATGGATTTCATCATGACATTCTCATGCATGTATTCAGTGTACTCTGACCGTATTTACCCTCCATTACCTTGTCTTGTTCCCTTTTTCCCCTACCACTGGCAAACATTTTTATTTCTTTACCTTTTATCTTACCTTTTAAAAAAACCTTTTCCCTTTTTCTTTTAGACTGTTTTATTATATACCCCAGGCTGGCCTTGAACCCATGATCCTCCTGCTTCAGCCTCTTGAGTGCTTAGATTACATGTATACACCACCACACCCAGCTAACAATATTTTTAGACTAGCTAGCTTATGTGTATCCTCATGAGAAAGTAATTTATTCTGGTTTGTTTCAGACCTGTGGATATTTGGGCTTTGGGCTGTATGATCATTGAGATGGCCACTGGAAATCCTTATCTTCCCAGCAGTTCTGATTTGGATTTACTCCATAAAATTGTTTTTAAAGTAGGTAGGTAATATTGAAATATTCTGTTACCTGTCTAAAATAAATATTGCCAGATCAATTCTGCTTGATTTTCAAAGTTAGCTTTTCTGCCCAAGAATAGGGAAACATATTATTTTCATAGGTGGTGGCAGATAGATGCTTTAGACTGATAAAGAAGGCAGAAAACTCTGTTTTTACAAATAATATTTTCTTTGTCGATGTGCAAATACAGACTTTATGTTGATGATTGATACTATGAAAAATAATACAATAATATTGTACTTTAATTTTTTAAAAAGTTATAAATTTTGGCTTCTACAAATATTTGCACTTCTAAACAGGAACTTTTAAATAATGGAGTTGAGGAGGATGCTTTTTTAAAGTAATTGGAGATACTCAGGAGATAATAAATCAATTATTTACTCAAAAACCATTCTCCTTAACAAAATAAATTAAAGCCACAAAATCCACAGTAGTTAGCTAGGTAGTTAAATAATTCATTCCAGTATATATTTAATGAAAAATTAAATAAAATGTTTGATGAGAGTTTAATTATTTGATGATCTATTTTAATTACCCAACATTTTTAGGTTAGCCTTGCTTTTTTTTTTTAATTTATTATTATTTTTTTTTAGGTTAGCCTTGCACATAGTATTTTTTTCTTCTTTATTTTTACACATAGTATTTCAATGATTTGGGTTTGTTAAAGTATTTCTAAATGACGAGCTTTGTGTGATGGGAAGCCAGACATGAACATGTCCAGGGTTATAAGTAAGGTCCCGTGAGCAATTATAGTGAAATCTGGGTAAATAACCGTTTAAGATAGTTTGAAGCCTTAAAGCATCACACTTTTTGTGTCTTCCTTAAAGTTCTGGTTATGAAATTAATGTTAGAAGGAATCTGTCATTTTATAGGTAAAGAAACCAAGCTATAAAATGAAGTTTTGCTCAAAGTCATGGAAGTAGTTATAGGCAGTCTGGAGCTAGAGTGCAGTTCTCTCCATTCCTATTTCTACTTTCCATGCTACGACTATTCTCTAGTCCTGTTTCTTCTATGCAATATTTTGATTTTAAATAAGTTAAATATTTTCGCTGTTTTGAGGAAGATTTCAGTCTGTTTTGCTGATGAACACTTGATTGTCAAACCTTAGATACCAGTAAAGAAATGTATAAAAATATATTTGAATGTGGAAATTACATATTATGACTTATAGTTTGGGAAAGAAGATGATCCTGGTGGTTTTACATCTTTGTCAATGTGTTATCAACACATTGATAACACATTGGGGAAGGCTTAATTTTTTTTTATGAGATATTCAGATAGTTTCTTGTTCAGCTTCAAAAATTTAAACAACATGATTGTTATTCTTCCTTGTTTCAGTTTTTGGTATAATGCAGATTACGTAGACATTTAATTATTTTGGAAGACTATAATTTTTTCTATTTTCTTATAAACATGTTTTTTTCTTTTCAGGGAATTTGACACCTCACTTGCAGAATATCTTTTCCAAGAGTCCCATTTTTACTGGGGTAGTACTTCCTCAAGTTCAACACCCCAAAAGTGCAAGGAAAAAATATCCAAAGCTTAATGGATTGTTGGCAGATATAGTTCATGTATGTTAAGAGATTAAGAATTTATATCTGAGGAATTTGTATAAATTATACAGTTTTAAAATATTACTTTAATGAAATTTCAAAAGTAATTTTTTTTCTTGTGGTATTGGGGTTTGAACTCAGGGCCTACACCTTGAGCCACTCCACCAGCCTTTTTCTTTGTAATAGGGTTTTTACAGATAGGATCTCAAGGAACTACTTGCCTGGGCTGGTTTCAAACCGTGATTTTCCTGATTTCTGCCTCCTGAGGAGCTAGGATTACAGGTGTGAGCCACCTGTGCCCAGCCAAAGTAATGTTACATGATTAAAAGTTACAAGGCTGAGTGGGCATGGTGGTACATGCCTGTAATCCCAGCTACTTAGGAGGTGGAGATCAGCAGGATAGAAGTTTGAGGCCAGCCTGGGCAAAAAAGTGAGACCTCATCCCAACAAATAAGACAGGTGTGTAGCATTAAATATCTGTAATCCTAGTTATGATAGGTAGGAGGATCATAGTGTGAGGCCAACCCCAGGCAAAAAACTTCAGACCCTGTCTGAAAAATAGCTAAAGCAAGAAAGGACTAGGGGTGTGGCTCAAGTGGTAAAGCATCTGCTTAGCAAGTGCAAGGCCCTGAGTACCAATCGCAGCATTCAGGAGGCTGAGGCAGGAAGAATGCAAGTTCAAGGTCAGCCTGGGCTACAGGTGCTGGAGATGTAGCTCAGTTGTAGAGTGGTTGCCTAGCATGCGCAACACCCTGGGTTTGATCCCCAGTGCTGCAAAAATTTTAGAAAAATTAAATTTGTAGACTGTTAGAAAGCCCCTAAAAATAATATCTTTTTTTTTCTTTTGCAGCACTGAGGATTGGTCTCTTGATCTTACGCTTACTAGGCAGGTGCTTTACCATTTGAACCCCTGCCCCACCAGTCTCCATTATTTTGTTTACCCAATTTTAATGATAATTAGGGATGAATTAGAAAAATTCTAAGGACTTAACCATGTTTATCATCATCTTTTTAACATCCAGTCTAGCCAGGCTAGTGAGCTATTGTTTGTATAGGAGTAAACTGAGCTATCTACAAGACATTCATAGGTAGCTGCAATTTTGAAGTTGCTGAAGACACACCAATACTTAAAGTGGAGAAAACAAAACCATTATGTGGCTTGTTTGTTATTTTATATTTAAATTTTATTTAAACTTGGTGTAAATATACTAATATACTTAGTACAAAATTCAGAGTGTAAGATGGGTTTATTGTGAATAGTAAATCTGTTTTTATTTTATTTCTCTAACCACCCAATTTCCTTTATTATCAGCAATGAAGGTGACTTATTTTAATGGTTCCCTAAATTTCAGAGCAAGTATAATGTAGTGTTTAAAATAAAGGGTTCCAGAATCACATAAACTTCTTTGAAAATCCAGGTTTGCTGAAGAAGTAGAGCACCTGCCAAGCAAGCACAATGCCTAAGTTCAAACCCTAGTACTGCCCCTTTGTACCCCGCACCCCCTCAAATAACACCCAGAACTGGGCTTGTGATTTTGCTTAGTTGGTATGGTGTTTACATACATGCATGAGGCCTAGGGTTTGATCCCTAGCGCTACAATAAGAGAAAGCCTGATCTGTCACTAATAAATTCTATAAACTTGGGCAAGTTACTCAGTCTCTATGCCTCAGTTTACTGGGCTGTAAAATGACAATAACAGTACTCTGGGGCTAGAGGAGATAATGATGAGATAATGAGATAATGTGTATTTAGCAAAGAGCCCAGAATAAGCTGTTAACAAATATTAATATTAATTACTGTTGCTGCTGTTACTTACAAATATATCTTTAGTTTGTAGCATCTAAAAAATATTCTTCTAGGGTTTCACACATGCTAGGCAAGTGCTCTACCACTTGAGCCTAGCCCTTTTGTTTGTTTTTTGTTTTTGAGATCCGGCTCTTTAATTTTACTCAGACTGGCCTTGAATTTGTGAACCTCCTGCCTGTGCTTCCTAAGTAACTGGGATTACAGACATTCCCCACCAGGCCTGGCCTAAAGAATATCCTTGAAACAAAAAATTATTTAATTGATACCTGGAGAGAAGTGGAGTTTATTATTAAGAATTAAATTTGCTTACTATAAGGCTTTCAGGTTAATTTCTCTTTTCTATATTCAAAATTATAGAAAAAGAGAAAATATACAATAAACAAGAGAGTTAAGACTTTTCCAACTCCTACAATCCAGAAAAATTAGTTAACATTTTGATCTTTACTTCTAGAGTCTCCCCAACCAAATATATGCATAGAAATTTATGCTTTTTAAAATGTGTCATCCTTTAAGCGCGCTGCTGTATAAATTTTTCTTTTCATTTATCAGTATGTTGTAAACATACTGTGTCAGTAAATGGAAGTTCATCGCAGTTTTCAGTGGTGATACGGTATTTCATCTGTGAGTATGCCATTAGTTTATTTAACTGACATTGCTTTTTTGGATTTTTAGGTTGATTTCAGTTTCCCCATGACTGGTGGTAAAGCTGTTGCAGTGGGGCTTGGGATGTAAATGAGGGGTAGAGTGTCCTCAAAACTGCTGAAAACACAGCTCACAGCATGTTACAATGAGCATTTTCTTTTCTTGACAGTACTGGAGTTTGAACTCATGCCCTTGCATTAGGTAGGCAGGTACTCAACCAGTTGAGCCACTCTGCCAGCCCAACAATGAACATTTTAATCTTTGTCTTGTTGGAATTAATAACCCTCCAGTGCCGAAAACATCAGAGACAGAAAACACGAGGCAGAAAATCTTGACAGGCAATTCCTCTTGATCAACAGGGTGCAATCATGTGCTCATTCCAGCTAAGCAAACAGGCAAGCACAAAATGGCTGACAGTGGCTCCTCCTTAAAATCCCTGCACCTCACCTGGGATTTGTCCAGGTCAAAGGTTCACAATCTTTCCTGATTGGCTAAAAGGCTTGGGGGATGGGTTAGGGCATCAGACAGGAATCTAGAAGAAGAAGCAAGGACCCTTTCAACATGCAAGTCACCTAAGATGGCGACCTGAGGAATTTTTAAGTAATCTAAGAGGGTAACAAATACTTTGATAGAAAAGATCATTTTTCTTACAGTCTTATGCACTTGTTTTATTGTTTCCTTAGAATAAATTGCTATCAGTGAGATTAATGGATCAAAGGTCAAAGGGATTATAATTTCTAGAATTTTCATGAAATTTAACTTTTTCTTTTGTTGTACTGGGGTTTGAACTCAGGGCCCTGTACTTGCTAGGTAAGTGCTCTACCACTTGAACCATGCTCCCAACCCATTTTGCTTTAGTTATTTTCTGAGTAACGTCCTGCATTCACGCCTATGGCCTACCTATGGCTCCCTCATAGCTATGCTGACAGGCACGTGCAGTTTCACTGGGGGCTTGAGAACTTCTTGCCCCATCTAGTCTTAAACCTCAGTCCTCCCAATCTCTGCCTCCTGAGTAGCTGACATTACAACTGAGATTTTTTTCATAAAGATTCCCATTCTCAATCTACCATTGCAAATTGTAAGTTTTTAAAATCTTTGCCAAATTTAATAACCCAGAAATACTATCTTTTTTTGTTTCTTTGTTTTGATTCTAGGTCTCACTGTGTAGCTCAGGTTGTCCTTGAACATTCTGTGTAGGTTAGGCCAGCCTCAAATTTACAATCCTCCTGCTTCAGTCTCTTGACTATCCTCCTGTGCTACCCCACCCAGCTAGAAATAGTAGCTGTTTAAAATTGTACTTACATAATTACAGAAAGAGGTTGAATATTTTGGATTCATTAGCCATTGCTACTTCTTTTTAAAAGAATCTTTAATTTAGCTGCGTGCAGTGGATCATGTCTATAATCCCAACTACTCTGGAGACAGATAATCAGAAGGATTGTGGGTCAAGGCCAGACTTGGTAAAAAGTTTGAGAGACCCCATCTCAACCAATAAAAGGTAGGTGTGGTGATGTGCACCTGTCATCCCAGCTACTTGGAAAACATAAATAGGAGGAGTGAAGTCCAGGCCAGCCTGGGCATAAGCAATGGGATACTGTTTGAAAATTACCTAAAATAAAATGGCTGGGGGCATAGCGCAAGAGGTAGAGTGCTTGCCTAGCAAACTGAAGGCCCTGAGTTCAAACCTCAGTACTGCCAAGGAAGAATCCTTGATTTATTTTGGTCAGTTAGAATATTTATCATTTTCATATGGAATTATAGAATAATAAGCATATTAATTTTTTGTCATAAATTGCAAATACTTTTTTTACATCTGGAATAACTTAGTGCTTGGAATGCCACATTTATCATAGACAAAATGCTTATACATGCTTTGGTCTGTTTCTGTTCCATTGATTTCTTATTCTGGAATTAGTACCATTTTGATTATTTTTTATAACTCTAAAATACAATTTTAATACCTAATGTCAGACACATATTTTTCCTTGATAGAAATTTTAAAAATAATTTTACTCAGGTATAATTTACAGTAAGCCACACATCTTTAAAATGTATAATTTGAAACTGGGCGCCAGTGGCTCACACCTGTAATCCTAGCTACTCAGGAGGCAGAGATTAGGAGGATCGAAGTTCAAAGCCAGCCCTGGACAATTAGTTTGCGAGACTATCTTGAAAGTACTCAACATGAAAAAGAGCTGGCAGAGAGACTGAAGAGATAGAGGGCCTGCCTAGCAAGTATGAGACCCTGAGTTCAAACCCCTGTATTATCAAAGAAAATGAATAATTCGATGAGGTTTTTGTTGCTTGTTTTGAGACAGCATCTTGGTATATAGTGCAGGCTGCAACTTAATATGTAGTCTAGATGGCCTCAAACTTGAGGTCCTCCTGACTTAGCCTCCTGAGTGCTGGAGTTACAGGTGTGTACCATTATGCCCAGCTAAATTTGATGAGTTTTGATAGATGTATACATACATAAGCCACCACCACAGTCAAGATACTAATATTTCTGTCCAAAATTTCTTTGTGTCCTTATGCTATCCTTTTTCCCCTCCATTCCTATCACTAGACAGTCACTGATTTGCTTTCTGTCACAATAGATTAGTTTGCATTTTTTTGTTTCTTTTGGCAAAACTGGGGTTTTCAGGCCTTCACGCTTGCTAGGCAGGCACTCTACCATTTGAGCCATGCCTCCAGCCCTCTTTTGCTCTGGTTATTTTTGAGATAGGGCCTCCTTTTCTGCCTGGATCAGCCTGGACTACAATCCCATTTTTTTTTTTTTGCAAAAATACATAAAATAAATTTTATTAGAATTCTGTGTCAGTAGAAGTAGAAAGGTTTAAGTCACAATCCTTCTATTTGTGCTTCCCCATGTATCTGGGATGTCAGGTATACACCATCACACCCAGCTATTGGTTGAGATGAGGTTTCACGAATTTACTGCCTGGAGGTTTCATGAATTTACTGCCCGGGGTGGCCCCAAACTGCAATCCTTCCTAGCTCAGATTTCCAAGTAGCTAGGATTACAGGTGTGAGCTGCAAGCATCTGGCTAGTTTGCATTTTCTGAAACATTATATAAATGGAATCATACAATATGTACTCTTATGTTCAACTTCTTTCACTTAGCATAATGGTTTAGAGGTTCATTTTGTACTTTTGAGTGTATCAAAATGTGTAATGTATTATGTTCCTTTTTTGACAGAGTTGTATTCTATTGTATGAATATACAATTCTTTTATCCACAATCCTGTTAAAGGATGTTTTGGTTATTTTCCATTTTTGGTTATTACAGACTAAGTTGTCATAAACAAATCTTTGTGTGTACATGTATTTCCATTCTCCTTGGGGTAAATATGCAAGAGTAACATGGTTTGGTCACGAGGCGGGTATATGTTTGATTTTTAAGGAAGCTGCCAATCTGTTTTCCAAAGTGTCATTTTTTACATTTTCCAAAATAGGACATATGTTGAAATTCCTTGAATTGTCTTATTCACAGAAGGATTGCATCTAATTTGTCTCCTTCTAATCAGCTGTGATATGGACAGATCTTTTAGCATTTTTCTTATTTTTATTGATGGATTGCCATTGTGTTTTAAAATAAGCATATATTTTTAATTAGTTGCAGTTTTAAGGATCTAGGTATTCTCACCTCATGAAGTGTTTAAAGGCTCAAATAATTTCATTTTATGAACCTTTTTTGTGGCTAAAAAACCCCCCCACATAACATGCAATCTACCATTACCAAACTTAAGTGTGCAGTACAGTATTTTTAACTATATTCACATTATGCACAGCAGATCTATAGAACCTTTCTGTAAACCAACTTAAACTATGCATTTTGAAATGAACAGAAGCATAATATTAGATAAGATTTCCCTGGATTTTTTTAGATTTATTTTTGCTTCTCTATTATAAGGTCTTAGACAAATTACTTAACCTCTCTGGGCTCAGTCCCCTCATCTGTGCATTGGGGATAATATTAGTATGTATTTTGTAAGGTTGTTGTTGAGATGAAGTGATAGAAAAGGCTAGTGCATGATGTGGTATTTAGCAAGCACCAATCAAGGTTATTTATTATTATGCTTTGCCTCCTTTCAGAGGAAGAATGAAAATTGTAAGGAAGAAGCTTTTTTATTCAAATTCTCTCTTCCATATTTTAGTTAAGGAAATAAGTTCTATATGTAACTACAGTATAGTTATTTAGTTACATAAAGATTCATTATATGCAATTTAATATTCAGAACTTTCCCTTTTTTGTCTACTCAGTTGGAATACTTTTAAGTTAGAAAACAAAAAATAACTTTTAATAATGGATTGTTGAAAGATTTGGGAGCTTGAATAGCTGCAAAATTGCATTATACCATAGAAAGAGCACTGGATTAAGAGTCAGACAATATGGATGAAAACTGTAGTCTGGCAAATCACTAATCATGCTCCCAGTTCTGCAAAATGCAAATGATTGCCTATGAACTTTCTACCACATAGGGCTGATAAAGGGATCAAAATGAGCTAATTAATTTCTGTTAATCCTATGCACCTTTATTTTATATTTTTGTTTTTCACAGTGTTAGGTATTGAACCCAGGGTCTTGCACAAGCAAGCTTCCTCTGAGCTACACCCTCAGCTCCTTAGTATCTGTTAATTACAACAAAAACAGATTGACCTTTGTTTTGGCTAGAATCATAGGACATTTAACCTTTAATAAGGCTCAGAAGCACAGATTTCTCTCCCTCTTTTCTCTCTTTTTTTTTTTTTTTTTTGTGGTACTGCAGTTTGAACTCCAGGCCTCAAACTTGCTAGGCAGGTGCTTTACCACTTGAACCACTCCACCAGCCCAGAAGCACAGATTTTTTTAGGGAAATAAATGGTCAGAACTTAGCGTCAGGAATTCCTGAGATCAGATTCCATCTTTTCAAAACAAACTTTTAGCTCTGAGTAGTTAATTACTTCATTTATCAAATAAAATATTTACTCTGTTAAGAGTAATATTTATGAAGATAAAAAAAATTATAAAAATATTTTTTCTTCTTAGGCTTGCTTACAAATTGATCCTGCTGAAAGGATATCATCTAGTGATCTTTTGCATCATGAGTATTTTACTAGAGATGGGTTTATTGAAAAGTAAGTATTTCAGCAAATACAGTCTTTTTAGTGTTTTGTAGAAGGAAATTTTACTAGCCTGAGAATTGTGGTGTAGATTGTTATATAACAAAAATCATTCAATTTGACAAAATTTACTGAGTTATTCACTAGATATATGTTGGACTTATAGAGGTCATGGATGAAAATTCTAACACAAATAATTATAGCTAATGTTCATTATATTACAGTGTCCAAGGCAATATTCTAAGTTTCCATTCTACAATTTCAATGTCATCATGGATCAGAAAGAACATTAAATAAATAACGAATACTTTTTTAGTCGTACTCCCATTTGTTCCTCTGATGCATAAAATAGTTTGGTTTTTCCCTCTTCTGATAGCACCCCTAATCTATATATTATAATTAGCACTTCCCAAATGATATTTTTCTTTGCTTATTCTTTGTCATAGTTCCCATGATGTTATCCTACCCACTAAATTGGAAGTTTTCTGAAGACAGGGGCCATACTTTTTCAACCCTTCTGTTTCCCACATTGCCTATGACAATAGCATTCATTGATAGTTTAGAGTCATTAGCCAGATTTCTAAAAAAAAAAAAAACCAAAAAAGAACCATTTTGAATTTGGGTTTTGAAAGAAAGAGTAATAGTTTCTCATTAATAAGAAAATCATTTAATTGGTTTGTGGACATGAAGTGAGAAAAACAGATACCAATTTAAATGTAATGGAGTAAAAGTCCAGTATAGAAAAATCTGGGAACTGCCATTGGAGATAGACTAAATAAAAAAAAAGACAAAGTCCTTTAGAATAACTGGGATTTCAGATATTTCAGGAATTTTGCTATAAAACGAAAAATGAGAAGCTGTATTAATGAAAGTGCTATTGATGATAAAAAGTATTAGAAACCAAATAAAAGTGTTGCTTTATATCAACCCTACATTGGTTAGGCTATTTCTCTTGGGTTTTTAGATGTTAGAATTTTATGTTCATGGGGTAAAAATACTTTGAGTTCAATTTCTGAAATCCTCAGAAAATGTTTGGGTAAGACAATTTTCTTTGATTAAATGCTTCTTTTGTGGACCTTCTACAATGCAAGGGAGTTTTATTTATTGTTGTTTGTTTGTTTGCTTGCTTCTTTGTTTGTTTTGAGACAGGGTCTTTTTATGTAGCTGGCCTGATACTTGTGATCTTCTTGCCTTAGCCTCCAAAAAACCAAAACAAAAAAATTGTACCATCTGTTGCAGAGGTTATAACTATACAGCATTATTTATGCTGTAGCTAAAATGCAAATTAATTGACTAAATGGTTCATTAAAGATAAAATATCTTCATAAATAAAAAGATTATTGGCTAATACCGTTTTTTTAAAATCAGATTCTTACCAGAGCTGAGAGCTAAATTACTAGAAGAAGCAAAAGTCAATTCATTCATAAAGCCAAAAGAGAATTTTAAAGAAAATGAACTTATAAGAGATGAAAGAAAAACAATTTTTACTAATACACTACTAAATACATCAGTTTTTGGAAAGGTAAGCACTTTGGTTTTCATTTCAGCCAGTATAATAGTATTATAGTTAGCACTCTAATGACAAAAATAACTGTTTTCAGGCTGGTGATATGTTCAAATGGTAGTGCACCTGCCTAGAAAATGCAAAGCCCTGAGTTCAAACCCCAGTCCACAAAAAAAAGAAAAAAGAAAAAGATTCCTATATAGCCAGGTACCAGTGGCTCATGCCTGTAATCCTAGCTACTTTACAGGCTGAGATTGGGAGGATCAAGGTTTGAGGCCAACCCCAGGCAAATAGTTTGCAAGTGTGAAGCTTTGAGTTCAAACCCCAGTCTTACCATTCCCCCCCACCAAAAAAAAAAATTGCAGAAAACGCTCTCATGACTCAAAATTTCAATCTATTGCAGGAAATGGAAAAAGAGAAAAAGCCCAAGGAGTTCAAAGTCAGAGTTATTAAAATCAAAGGAGGAAAAGGAGATATTTCAGAACTGAAAAAGTTAGAGTATGAAGGTGGACATTGTCAACAGGATGCAATTGAAAATGTTCATGCTCTGCCTCAAGATCTAAAACCCATTGAACCACCAAACCCTGCCAATCCCAGCACTAACTCTGATTGCGTTAAAGAAGATCTACGTGCTGGAGGTTGTATGATGATGCCAGCCATCAATCTAATGAACAGTAGTTTGACAGCTGCAAACCTCAATCAAAATCTCCCTTACTCCAATCCAAGGTGAGCTATGAAGAGAACAGACCTAAGTAATAAAATGTTTCTACATAATGGCATTTCAAAGAATCGCTTTACAGCTTCCGTATGTAAACTGAACTTGGAGAAGATCTATTGAAATTATAATTGTATAACAGGTTATTTACTGAGTAGTTCTTATGAATGCTGTGGAAGAAATTAATTTTTCTTAGCAATATAGATGTTTAATTTTTCACAGCTATATAGATGTTTAATTTTTCACTAATATCTTATACTTTGGGAAAACTCCATTTAATAAAAGAACCTCAGAAAATCATCTTCTGGTTTTTTTGTTTGTTTTTTTCCTGCTGCACTGGGGTTTGAAGGCAGAGCCTCACACTTGCTAGGTAGACTCTACTCTTTGAGCCCCTCCACCAGCTTATCTTCCATTTCGAAGAGAAGAAAAGTGATACGATCTATGTTCTAGTATCCATGTGCCATAATATCTTAGTCTGGTTTGTAATACTATGATAAAATAACTGAGGTACATGCAGTAGGCCCTGGGTTCAATCCTCAGCACCACAAGAAGACAAAAGAGGTTTATTTTGTTCACAATTCTGATAGCTGGAGGGTTCCAAGAGCATGGTGTCACTGTCCTCGCAAGGACTCCTTGGCTGCATCACAACATAGTAGAGATGCAGATGGGGCACATATGTGAGCAAGAAAAGGAGAGAGAGATTCAGGGGAGATGCCAGGATCCCTTAGAACAACCCTCTCTAATGGGACTTCCTTCAAGAGCAAGAACATACTCCCAGGAGAAAAGCATTAATCTCTCTTAAAGACCTAGTCACCTCCCACCAGGCCTCCCCTCTTAAAAGTTCTGCCACTTCAATACTGCCACAGTGGGATCAAGCTTCCAGCACATGGATTTTTTGGAGGATGAACATGTTTCAACCCTAGCACTCAGTATACCACAGGAAGGTTTATTTCTATATCATAGCAAATTCTCTAAATGGATAAAGGATAGTCAAAAATAATCTTTCATAGTCAAATAGTCTTTCAAAGACAAATATGTTGGGAGGAAAACTGCATATTAGGCCAGTTTTAGATTTAGCCTCTAATACAGGTTGAGAGACTGATACTTATTCTGATTAATAATGGGCAGTGTGACAGATGGTGAGGGTGTGTCTAGCAAGGTATAAGAACTGTTTGTAAATTTTGCGTAGCTACTGTGATTTTAGGTATGAAGGAGACTAGTTTCATTAGCCCATCGGGATTCTGGAAGACTGGTTTGGGCTATAGGTTGTGAGAATTAGTGGTTTGCAGAAGTGGGCAAGTGGAAATGTCTGTGTCAGTCCAAAGGTACAGTAGGTTACAAGACTGCAATAGGCCAATTGGTTTTTTTGTTTGTCTTTGGTTCTTTGTTGTTTTTTTTTTTTGAGACAGGGTCTTGATACATAGCCCAGGTTGGCCTCAAACTCATTATCCTCCTGCCTCAGCCTCCCTAGTATAGGTGTGCACCACCATGCTTAGCCCCCAATTGTTCCTGAAGTGACCCCAAAACCATGGTGCCAGTAACTGCGGGTGCAAGCTAGTCTTAGACAGCAAGGTCATATACTGAAAATTCCAGTGGTTAAGAGATCCAACCTCAAAATAGGTAGAAAGGAGTGAGTAAGACAGCATTAGTAACTCTGTGACATATTTGTCACCATTGATGTTGACCATGTAGTAGTTGTTCTCTGCCTTATTGCCACTTCTCTCCTTAGAGTTCTTGGTACTTATGGGCTGACTGTTGATTTTTGGTGGTACTTGTTTTGACAAACATCCATGTATATAATTCATTCACTCTTTTTACTTTATTTTATTTTTTGAGATAGGGTCTCACTTTGTAGGCAGGCAGGCCTTGAACTCATAATCTTCCTGCCTCTGTCTCCACAATGGGCAAAAGAATTATTAGATTTATTTATTTTTGCAATGCTGGAGTTGAACCCAGAGCCTTGTGCATGCTAAGCAAGTACTTTTTACCATCAAGATACATCTCAGCCCTTGTTCACTCTTAAAGCTAAAACAAAGGCACTTCTGGGGAGTTCTAATAACTTCTCATTTATTTTTAAATAATAGGTTAACTGAAAGAGTGAAAAAGAGACGTACTTCTTCACAATCTGTTGGACAAGTTATGTCTAATAACCGACAAGAGGACACAGGTCCCACTCAAGTAAGGCAAGATGCTGGTCATCAAAATATGGCTGCTCTTAACAGTGCCCCCTCCATTTCTTTTCTCTGTTTGTGGGGCTCTAACATTTTTTAAAAATATGCTTTTAATTTCTCTCTCTCTCTCTCTTTCTCTCCCTCTCTCTGTTTACATGCTAAACATATGCTCTACCACTGAACTACATCACCAGTCCAATTTTTTCTTCTTTTCTTTTTTTGTTTTGGCAGCACTGGGGTTTGCACTCAGGGCTTCATGCTTGCTAGGCAGGCACTCTACCGCTGAGCCACTCCACCAGCCCTCTCCCTTTTTTTTCCTTGAGATGAAAATAGACCATCATTTCCTTAGTGTTTTACAATTTTAGTTAATTTCCAATATCTCAATTTGTATATTTAATGTGTGACTTGGACAGAATAAGATTTCTACCTGTATTTATTTATTTATTTATTTGGTACTGGGGCTTGAACTCAGGGCCTTCACCTTGAGCCATGCCACCAACCCTTTTTTTGTGAAGGGTTTTTCAACTATTTGCCCAGGCTGGGTTCAAACCTCAATCTCTGCATAGGATTTACAGGTGTGAGCCACCGTTGCCCGACAGATTTCCACCTTTAAAATAGTGACTTTTAAAAAAGTTTTTAATATCTTACTTTATGGATTTAAAAACAATTGTCAAATATGTACAACTTATTTGCAATAAAAAAACTAATCAATATAATTTATCCCTTCCATTTATAGGAGAGTTTATTCAAACTTAAAGCACAGTGTTACTTATAATAATAGAAAATTGAAAAAATAAAATTGAAATCACCTGTCTTAAGAACAGGTGACTTACTAAATACGTTAGGGTACATTTATACAATGGAATACTACACATTATATTTGGGAAGTATCCATTGACCCCCAAAAAGTGTTTATGATCTGTCATCAGCTGACCAAAAATAGCACAAAAGGTTTTCGAGGTAGTGAATCCACAAGACTATTTCCTTTGGACATAAAGCATATTTTATTTATTATTTTTTTGAGGGACTGGGGCTTGAACTGAGAACCTTGTGCTTGCTCGGCAGGCACTCTACCACTTCAGCCATGCCTTCATCCCAAGCACATCATTTTACAAATAGAAAAAATAAGTTACTGATAAAATGAACTAGAGCAATTTGTCCAAAGTCAGAATACAATTGAAAGTAAAGATTGTGGTTCTGATGATTAAGACTTATCTTCTGAATATTATATATAATTTAAAAAGTTGCTTTATGAAACTTTTGAGTTTGATCTGTTTATATATTTAATGGTATTCTACTTTGTTTTTGTTTTTATTTTATCTTTTGAGACAGTCTTGCTATATAGACCAGGCTGCCTCTGCCTCTCTAGTACTGAGATTAAAGTCCAGGACTATTCTACTTGTCAATTATTAAAATAACTGTTCTACCTTTTTACATCATTGAAAAAGCTAATAATTATAGACTTGTCATTTTACAAATAGTTACACAAATTTCTTCAAAATAACTCCATTTGTTTGTTTAGAGCCAAATGGAAAAGGGTGTTTTTAATGAACAAACAGGTCAAAGTGACCAAGTGGTAAGTGGGAACAAAAGGAAGGTGAATTTTTCCAGACCTGAGAGGAAAGAATTCCATTTCCCTGAATTGCCTTTCACAATACAGTCAAAGGATATAAAAGGAATGAAAGGTATATATTTGTTGTGTATCTTTATAAATCTTTTTTTATAAATGATATTTACAGTGTTTTTTGTAACATAAATTTAATATTGGAATTTAGGTAGAAAATAGTAAATTTCTGAGAAAAACATTTTCTGCTGATTCTTTTCTCCCTATAGTTGACTAAAGCATAAGACTTAATGGTGATCATTTTAGAGGGATCAGCTTGAAAGGGTGATTTTTCATCAGCTTAATGTTGAAATTTTGGGACACTTCAAGGAAGGTAATTGTAGTTCAGTCTATGACCTGGAGTAAATCACATTCCTATGCTTCTCCATGATTATTTCCCATATATTTTCCAGGACTGTTATTGATAGGCTAGGGCATCCAAGGATTTAGTATATTAAGGTTTATAAATTTAAAATTTTTCTTTATTTAAGATTTGTCTTAAAATGAAACTCATTTTTTTGTGAGTAAATGTTTTTAACTTTCTTTGAAGAATAGTGACACCTTGTGAAAATGTAATATAATAGCAAGAATGTAGTATTTGTAGAACTCAAGAGGACTTATCTTGATCCACCTTGCAGTTATACTAAGAATAAAAAATATAAATTTTTTTTACTACTTGATAGACTTTGTAAAATTATAAGACAAATAATTTACCATATTTTACTATTACAAGTCATGATTTAGTCAGTTCCTTTGTAATAAACTAAAAAACTGACTTCAACGGAGAAAAACTGAAACCATTTCCTCTAAAATCAGGAACTAGACAAGGATGCCCACTATCTCCACTCCTATTCAACATAGTACTGGTATTCCTAGCCAGAGCAATTAGGCAAGAAGAAGGAATAAAAGGAATACAAATAGATAAAGAAACTGTCAGAATATCCCTATTTGCAGATGACATGATCCTATACCTTAAAGACCCAAAAAAACTCTACTCAGAAGCTTCTAGACATCATCAATAGCTACAGCAAGGTAGCAGGATATAAAATCAACATAGAAAAATCATTAGCATTTCTATACACTAATAATGAACAAACTGAAAAAGAATATATGAAAACAATTCCATTTACAATAGCCTCAAAAAAAATCAAATACCTAGATGTAAACCTAACAAAAGATGTGAACAACCTCTACAAGGAAAACTATAAACTTCTGAAGAAAGAGATTAAGGAAGACTATAAAAAGTGGAAAGACTTCCCATGCTCATGGATTGGTAGAATCAACATAGTAAAAATGTCTGTACTCCCAAAAGTAATCTACATGTTTAATGCAATTCCCATCAAAATTCCAATGACATTCATTAAAGACATTGAAAAATCTACCATTAAATTTATATGGAAACACAAGAGGCCACAAATAGCCAAGGTAATACTCAGTCAAAAGAACAATGCTGGAGGTATCACAATACCTGACTTCAAACTATATTACAAAGCAATAACAATAAAAACAGCATGGTACTGGCACAAAAACAGACATGAAGACCAGTGGAACAGAATAGAGGACCCAGATATGAAGCCACACAACTATAACCAACTTGTCTTTGACAAAGGAGCTAAAAATATACGATGGAGAAAAAGCAGCATCTTCAACAAAACCTGCTGGGAAAACTGGTTAGCAGTCTGCAAAAAACTGAAACTAGATCCATGTATATCACCCTATACCGACATTAACTCAAAATGGATCAAGGATCTTAATATCAGACCACAAACTCTAAAGTTGGTACAGGAAAGAGTAGGAAATACTCTGGAGTTAGTAGGTATAGGTAAGAACTTTTTCAACAGAACCCCATCAGCACAGCAACTAAGAGATAGCATAGATAAATGGGACTTCATAAAACTAAAAAGCTTCTGCTCATCAAAAGAAATGGTCTCTAAACTGAAGAGAACACCCACAGAATGGGAGAAAATATTTGCCAGCTACACATCAGACAAAGGACTGATAACCAGAATATATAGGGAACTTTAAAAAACTAAATTCTCCCAAAACTAATGAACCAATAAAGAAATGGGCATGTGAACTAAACAGAACTTTCCCAAAAGAAGAAATTCAAATGGCCAAAAAGCACATGAAAAAATGCTCACCATCTCTAGCAATAAAGGAAATGCAAATTAAAACCACACTAAGATTCCACCTCACCCCTGTTAGAATAGTCATCATTAGCAACACCACCAACAACAGGTGTTGGCGAGGATGTGGGGAAAAAGGAACCCTCTTACACTGTTGGTGGGAATGTAAACTAGTACAACCACTCTGGAAAAAAATTTGGAGGCTACTTAAAAAGCTAAACATTGATCTACCATTTGATCTAGCAATACCACTCTTGGGGATATACCCAAAAGACTGTGACACAGGTTACTCCAGAGGCACCTGCACACCCATGTTTATTGCGGCACTATTCACAATAGCCAAGTTATGGAAACAGCCAAGATGCCCCACCACTGACGAATGGATTAAGAAAATGTGGTATCTATACACAATGGAATTTTATGCAGCCATGAAGAAGAACGAAATGTTATCATTTGCTGGTACATGGATGGAATTGGAGAACATCATTCTGAGTGAGGTTAGCCTGGCCCAAAAGACCAAAAATCTTATGTTCTCCCTCATATGCAGACATTAGATCAAGGGCAAACACAACAAGGGGATTGGACTTTGAGCACATGATAAAAGCAAGAACACAGAAGGGAGGTGTGAGGATAAGTAAGACATCTAAAAAACTAGCTAGCATTTGTTGCCCTCAATGCAGAGAAACTAAAGCAGATACCTTAAAAGCAACTGAGGCCAATAGGAGAAGGGGACCAGGAACTAGAGAAAAGGTTAGATCAAAAAGAATTAACCTAGAAGGTAACACACATGCACAGGAAATTAATGTGAGTCAATTCCCTGTATAGCTATCCTTATCTCAACTAGCAAAAGCTCTTGTTTCTTCCTATTATTGCTTATACTCTCTCTTCAACAAAATTAGAGATAAGGGCAAAATAGTTTCTGCCAGGTATAGAGGGGGTGGGGGGGAGAGAAGGGGGCAGAATGGGTGGTAAGGGAGGGGGTGGGGGCAGGGGGCAGAAATGACCCAAGCATTGTATGTACATATGAATAATAAAACAATCAAAATTTAAAAAAAATTAAAAACTGACTTCAGTGGATGTCAGGATTTCCATTTTAAATTCTTAAAAAGGAAAGTAGAATTTCAAGGTAGTAGAATAAATTCTCATTGTTTTATGTATTTTTGCAAAAGTTAAACAGATAAAAGTGCTGAAGAGGGAGACAAAGAATGCAGATTCACCTAAAATACCAACTTTACTTAATATGGATCAGAATCAAGAAAAATAAGAGGTAAAACTTTTTTGTTTATACTTTTTACTAAAGGATGTTGTTTAGAGTCCTTGACTCAATGTATAAATTTAGTTGTTACTATTAGAAAGCTATATAAAATCTTAAACTTTTGTGCTGGAGGTATGGCTCAAGTAGTAGAGTGCCTACCTAGCAAGTGTGTAGCCCTGAGTTCAAACCCCAGTACTGCCAAAAAAACCCCAAAAAAAACAGAAAAAAGAAAATTTCAAACTTTTGTCATCTTTGAACTCTAGAAACAGATCTATATTTTCCTAAAATAATCAATTAGTAATAGTTTCTAAAAGTTGTTTTTAGCAATAGTAAATGCCAGCCCTCATTTGACTGTTGGATGATTAGAATTTATGGTATCCAGAGAAAATAGTTAACTGTGTTTTGTTTATTATCAAACGTCAGGCAGGTAACCCATGCTAGTGAAAATAAATGATGGTTTAAATAGCTGGCTATGCTGGTTACAGGTATATATGTCTTTGTCTTTAGTATCTTACCTTTTGTTTTTTCTCCAATTTATCTTCTATCTTTCTCTGTGTCCACCTATTGTCTTGTTCTTAGCTAGTTATCAGATAATTCCCACATTGAATCCACCATAGAGATTCTTGAATTTTATTTGGAAATCTTGAAGTCTTCAACTCCAAATGAATCCCATCTAAAGGTACTCTCAAGGGAAGAAGACTGTGCTGAGTACCCACTGAATTAAATCATGTAGGTGGCCTCCTGTTCTGCCCTTGTGAGGTCATCTCTAAGTGATTTATCAATGTCATTTTCTCCACTTAAAAAAAATGAAATTGACTACATTTTTATTCATAATAAAATTATGCATATTTATTGAGGAAATTAAAATGTAGAAAAATTTATTTGAAACTATATAAGAAAGCATTTTAACTAAGGCTACTCAATTTCTACAATATTTAGATAAGAAGGTTATCAGCCACTATTAGAGGTATGTACACTGTGACATTTAGAACTTGTTAACTCTATAATCTACCTTGCAGAAAAAGAGGTATTATAGAACAGAAAAGCCATTAATGGTCATTGTCAATGTAACAAGGTAGCTTTAAAATTATGCATTTAGGGGGACTTACTCATGTCCCAGTATGCCACACAGCATATACTGTTTATACATATTTAGAATGATTGGGTGAGTTAGGGCTCCTGACATTGTGTAGAGTAGTAACATATCACAGGGCATGCTGCTTGCTCTATGAGATGCCCCAGGAATGAAAACTACATACCAATGTAGGAAAAAAGAAAAGGAATTCTTTTTTTGTTGTTTTGGTGGTGGTACTGGGGCTTGAACTCAGGGCCTAAAGCTTGCTAAGCAGGTGCTTTACTACTTGAACCACTCGGCCTGCCTAAAAGAATTCTTAAGGGAGTTCTATCATTTTTAGGATAAATAAATAAATAGAAAGGAAAATCCCTTCTTGCTCACATGATTTAGAACTCCTTAAAAAGATGACATTTTAAAAAGAGTGATCTTTGCCACATGTTACAGTCACATGCCTGTAATCCCAGCTGCATGGGAGATGGAGATGGGAGGATCACAGTTCAAAAAGTTAGTGAAACTCTTATCTCAAAAAAACAAACTGGGCATGATGGCACATGCCTTTAATTCCAGTTACTGGGGAGGCAGAGGCAGGAGGATCACAGTCTGAGACTGGCCCTAGGGAAAAGTACAAGACCCTATCTGAAAAATGAATTAAAGCAAAAAGGGCTGGGGTAGTAGAACACTTGCCTAGCAAGTGCATTGTCTGGAGTTCAATCCCCAGTACTGCCAAAAAAAAAAAAAAAGTGATTTGAAACAACTTGTAGTTATTAGAAATAACCAGAAAACGCCTAGTGTGATGGTTTACCCCTCCCTACAAGGGTAATCCCAGCTAGTCTGGAGGTGGAGAGTGGGAGGATTCCATTTTGAGGCCAGCACTTGCAAAAAGTTAGTGAAACCCCATTTTAGTCAGTAACCTGGGCAAGGGGTCATCTGTAATCCCAGGTACCTTGGAGGCCTTAGATAAGAGAATAGAGGTCTGACCAGGCACCGGTGGCTCACACCTGTAATCCTGGCTACTCAGGAGGCAGAGATCAGAGGATTGAAGTTTGAGGCCAGCCCAGGCAAATAGTTTGTGAGACCCTGTCTTGAAAAACCCTGTCACAAAAATAGTGGTGGTGGAGTGGCTCAAGGTGAAGGCCCTGAGTTCAAGCCCCAGTAGTGCAAAAAAATAAATAAATAAATAAAGGTATGTGTGGGGGAATAGAGGTCTGAAGCCAGCCCAACCAAAATATGAGACCCCACCTGAAAAGTAAAGCAAAAAAGGGCTGGGGTGTGGCTCAGGGGACGGGGCACCTGCCTTGTATGTGCAAGGGTCTGAGTTCAAATCCCAGTGCCACTACCAAAAGGAAGGAAGAAAGGAAGGGAGGGACGAACGAATGAAAGAATGAAGGAAGGACCAACCAGAAGTCATTAGTGTTGGTTATAGTTTATTCATACTCCCCATTCAAAAGCAGTTCTGACAGGAAACTTAAATTGCATATGAGTCCAAACACTTTTAATAAATTAATGTCAGAATTAAGAAAATTTCCTGAATTTTGAGTCTGTAGTTCATTTTTGAGTATGAGAATATGATATGTTTTTAATGAGAATATGATGGGACTGGAAGTTTTCCTCGGTGGTTAGAGCTCTTGCCTAGCATGTCTGAAAAACTGGGTTTGATCCCTGTACCACCAAAAAAAAAACCAACCAACATAAGACAGGGAATAACAATTCATTTGTTCTGTTCTCTATTCTTGGCTCTGTCCTTGATTTGTTTTTAGAAGTTCCTAAAGCTGAACAGGTTACATTAACCTCTTTAAGGCAACTTAAATGTATATTGAAGTTATGCAGGCACACATTTGAAGATGCTCTATGACCAGACAGAAACCCTAAATTACTGTGAATGAGTAATTTAGGCAAGAGAGAAAGGAGTCCATACAAAGGCCGCCTTTACTTCTGTTTTATGATGATTATGAGGATTATTTGCTGAATAGTGTCTTTGTACCGTATGAAACAATCCCCAGGTACAAAGTGCAGGTATTTTTATCTCTGCCTGTATTTTCTTAGCCAAAGACCCACCATTTCCTCAATTAAGATCCTGTTTCTATTTACTTTTAGAATACAGGACATGTATAAACTGAAAGAAGAAGAACCAACCAGATGTAGAGTAGAAAATGATTCTGGGAATCATTTATGTGTATATTCACTTAAACATGTTTTTAAATTCATAATAATTATTCATGTTGTCTTAATTTAAACATTAACTTATGAAAACTGTCTGACTGGTGTATCCTAATAAAACTGTAGCTTATATTAAGTTATATAATTTTATTTGATAATCTCTCATTTCAGACATTTTTGATTAGTTCTTATGCTTACATTCGTTTCAGAGCTTTACAATTACAAGAGGAAAAGTGTCTGAATATGTAACAGGGGAATCCCAATGTGAGAGCACCAAACATTTCTGAGTAAACAGGGATACTTGATAAGCATGAAATATGGGTTTGGTTCCATACTGAGAATTCTGGAGCAGCATTTAAACATATCATGATGATTATTTAAAAGGACAGAAATTGAACAAAATAGTGAACCAAGTCTTTTGGGTTGATCAGCATGATTACCATTTAGTAGATTACATGTAATTTAACATTAGTATAGTTATGATTTTGGCAACATGTATTTACATTCCCATCCCTGATTCTTACTAGTTTAGTTTCTAATTTTAGGGTGGAGATGGCCATCAAGAGGGGAAGACTTTGAAGAGGAGCACGTTTTTTTTCTGGTAGTGTTTTCTTTTAAATAATCTTAAAAATACAAACTGATAACTCTTCTTTTTTAATTTTATATACAATAGAAATCTAACATGAACCATTGTTGGGTAGCCATACATTCAATCTGCATTAGCATCACCCAACTTTTTTGTTTTGTTAGTAAAAGACTGACTGTTTACTTCTCTCTGCTAGGAATTCTGTTGTGATACTTTGATTTGGAATTATAAAGTCATCTCCTCTCTGCTTGCTTCTTTACTTGCCATCATTACTGAGTGGGTAATACATCTGGTCACACTGTTCTTGTATTGATCTCAGCCCTCTAAGAGTTATAGAGACTCAAAAGTCAATTTTTTTTTATTTTTTGCGCTACTGGGGCTTGAACTCAGGGCCTTCTCCTTGAGCCACTTCATCAGCCCCATTTTTTTTCGAGCTAGTGTCTATGTACTATTAGCCCAGGCTGGCTTCAAACTGCAATCATCCTGATCTCTGCCTCTTGAGAGCTAGGATTACAGGTGTGAGCCGTTGGTGCCAGGAAGAGGTTGATTTTTTTTTTTTGGTAGTGCTGGGGCTTGAGCCCAGGGCCTCATGCATGCTGAGCAGTTGCTCTACCACTGAGCTACATGCCCAGCCTCCTAAAGTGAGTTCTTAATGAAATATCTGATCCATTGTTTAGCTGTTACTATTACGTGATGAAAAACATGCTCTGATGGTCAGCAACAAAAGTATTTATAATATTCATAAATATCTAAAAACGATATGGTTTTCAAATACTAGTTAAATTCCTTTATCCTGTTAAACAATTGCCTGTGCGTTTCCAGATTCCTAGTTCTATCTGATAGTGGTACAGACATGAAAATATTTCATAAAACAAATTGTGTACAACCCAAAAGAGGTTTATTATCTTAGTCATTTTCTGTTGCTAACTGAATGACACAGACTGGATAGTTTATAAATAATAAAGGTTTATTTAGCTTACAGTTCCAGGGGCTGGAAAGTCCAAGAGCATGGTGCCAGCATCTGCTTAGCAACTGATGAGGCCTCCTGGATCACCATAATATGGTGGAGGGTATCACATGTTGACACAGGAAACGTCCTAGTTCAAGTCCATCTTCCTTTTATAATAAAGCCAGTAAGCCACCTTGTAGGGTTTACCCTCATGACCTCTGCTAATTCTAACTACCTTCCAA